TCTCCTGTTTTCCGGGGGGACCGCTCATGTGGGCGAGGCGCTGGTTCTCCTGCGGAAGCTTCAGCAGAGCTGCTTCCTTACCAGCCATTATGTCCATGAGGCGATGATAGTCTGAGCGGAGTTGGCTGTTCTCTCTGGTCTTCTCGTTAAGCACAGCAAGCACTTGTTCCCTCTCCACAGCGTAAGCCTGAAGCTGCTGTTGAAGAAACATGACGTCCTGGCTGTGTCCACCAACTCCCACCATGGAGACTCTTGCATGAAGTGCCTGGATCTCCAGGTCCTTCTGCAGGATCACCTGAGAAAGTTTACCCACTTCATCTCGTGACAGCACCAGCTGATCCAGCTGTCTGGTCAAGGACAGGTTCTTCTCGTTCAGCTGGCTGATCTCTGTCTCCTTCTCCTTCATTCCTCTAACCAGTTTTTCTATTTCTACCTTTGATAAATCATGCTTTTCATTTCCATTCTCCTGATTTAGAGTCTGAGTCTTCTCCTCCTGCAGGATAACATCTCCCTGCACAGAAGGAGAGTCTGCACGACCTTGACTAAGACTTACATTATCCAAAGTTTGCTGCAAACGAGCTATTTCTTCATCTCTGGCAACTATGAGCCTGTCGTAGTTGAGAGTGGTCTGCTGAAGACGAGCGTGGGCCTCCTCTAGTTCTGTCTGTTGAGCCTGGTGGGACTGCTGCGACAGCAGCAGAGAAGCTTGCTGCTCTTCAACGGTTCTCCTTTGGGTATTGGCCTCTTCTTCCAAGTGTTTCCTGGAGGTCTTGAGTTGTGTGATCTCTGCCTCCAGCTCTGTGATGATGTCCAACGTCCTGGGCTCAGCCAGAGATTGAGGTCTGCTCTGCTGATCTCTGAGACGATCAATCTCTTCCTTCAAATGGCTGTTGTCCTCCTTCATCCCACCGAGCTGTTTGTCCTTCTCTTCTAGTGATAGTCGTAGAGCTTCTGCTTCTTTCGTCGTTGCCATAATGCTCTTCTCCATCTCAGCTTGAAGATCTGCAGCATTCTGTTTCAAAGTGTCCACAAACACGTCCTTCTCTTGCAGCAGATCTGTCAGCTGCTTCTGCCCCGCGACTGTGATGGAGAGCATCTCGTTTGTGTCCCTGTGATCAGACGCCAGTTGCTCCAAGTCTCTTTTCAGACGTGCAATCTCCATGTCCTTCTCCTGGTTGAGCTTGATGGTGCGTTCGTGTTCTGTCTGAAGAGCCGAGGCATCCATGGAGCGAGCCCGGGTCAACTCCTCAATTGTCTGCTTGTACTGTTTCGCCTGTTCAGACAATGATTTCTCAGCCTGCCTCAAATCAGCATCCAGCTGAACTTTCTCCAGCTTCAAGGCTTCAATTCGAGTATCCTTTTCTCTCACTGTCCGGTTCATAGACGTCTGACTTTCCTTCATCTGCTTTTTGAATTCCTGCACTTTACCCTGAGCTTCCTCCTTCTCCATTTTAAACCTCCTATTCTCCATCTTTAACTCATAGTCTGTGGACACAATATTCTCCTGGGAGCTCTTCAGCTCTTCAACCTCTCTTCGCAAGTTTTGTAACTCCTTCTCCTTCTCCTTTAGCTCTTCTTTAGATCCCTCGTCCTCAAATGTCCCATCTCCTACCTGGTCCAGCTTAGCCTGAGCAGCACATAACAGCTCCTCCTTTTCCTCCAAAGTTTTCTTCAGTTCGCCCACTTCTTTACGTGCCTCCCTGCTCTGCTCTTGCACACGTCCCAGCTTTTCTTCAAGCTCGTGCAGGGTTCGCTCCTGCTGCTGTTTGCTCATATGCAGTTCATTAATGGCAAAAGCACTCTGGCTTGTCTTCTCTTTTTGGTTCTCCACCTCCTGCTCCAGTGACCTTTTCTGGTCCTTGGTCATGTCAAGTTCTGCTTTCAGTTTTGTGAGCTCAGCTTCTGCCTCCTTCAGCTGTGCTGAGAGCTGCTCCTTCACTGAGATCACGTGCTAAAGATGAGAAGTTAACACAAAACCACATTGATAAAGTGTAGTTTGATATTATCATTACAATTTTAAGGCTCTGTCTGGAATGTTATTGTTCTTATATCTGCTTGGAAAAAAAAAATCAAGACAACATGAAACATAATAACTAAAATGTTTAAGTGTGACCATCAGTCAGACCTGTGTTGCCTCCTGGCTCTGACGGTCCAGTTCTTCTAGCTCAGACATTAAAGTATCTCGTTCTTCCTCTGTAGCCCTCAGAGCCTTTTCTCTTCGTTGTAATTCAACCTTCAGATCATCCAGAGACTCTGTTACTTCAGATTCAGCTCCAACACCGGTCACCATTTGTTGCAATGTTTCTTTAAGTCTTTCTTCGAGATTCAGCTGAAAAAAAGAAAAGAAAAGATAAACGTTACAAAAAAGACAAATCCTGGCCGTTGAACTTGGGCAAGTTTTCAGTAACATGTTTCTGCTCAACTTAAAGCCATTTCTGTTCTAACTGTTAAATAGATTTTCTAATTCATAATAAGCATGCTATACTGTTTAGCTGGCAATTTCTAGTATTTTAGTCAATTTGGCTGCTGTAAAACGTACATTCAACTGAGAAACAGTATAATGAAATCCATCAACCATTAAAGATTCATAATTCATCCACAAACAATCTATGTTCTACCTTTTCCTGTTGGAGAATTTCCTTTTCTTGTCTCAAACCATCAATGATGGTGTTCAGCTCTAAAATATCTGCATGTTCGACGTCTTCCTTTGGTTCAACCTGTCAGTAAAAATAAAAAAAGCAATTATACACTAGATCAACTAAACATCCATTCCACTACTTAAAATGTTGATTATTTTGAGGTGGTAATAAACTTCATTATCACACTCACATCTGTCAGGTTTTTAAGCCTCTCTATTTCCTTCTCTGCATCTGTAAAAGAGTTTTAAGTAACAATATTCTGTATCTTTACAACAATCATTTGTACTTTTTAATTATAAGGGAACAAAAATTCTTAATATAGTAGTTTTTCACTCAGTATATTCAACAAAATTAAAATAAAAACAGTCATACCTTTGAGGTTTTGCTTCAACACTTGAATGTCATGCTCCAGCTGAGCTTTCTGCAGAGCCTTCCCCTCCTGCTCTTGTACTCGTGTCTGGAGTTCATCCACAGACGCCTGTAATCGCGTGTAGTTCTGCAGCAGCCCGGCGTTTTCTTCCTGCGCTTCATCCTTCTCCACCTGTAGGGCACACTGTTTCATCTGCGCCTCCTCCAGGCTGGAGGAAAGCTCCTCCAGCTGCTTCTCCCGCTGCTCTGCTGCCTCCTGCAGGGACTGGATGGTTTTATGGAGATCAGTCTGTCTGGAGACATCTGCTGAGGGACTGGTTTGACCGCCTGGAGAGGAGGATAAGGAGGAGAGGAGTTTGCTTGTCATTTCAAGTTTTGAACCTCGTAGCAACATTTATCAAGATGAGCTTGTGTACAACTTTTTAAGAACAGAGCAAAAGAAATACAGACAAATATATTCGAGAGATTTCAGTTCTGCAACAAACGTCAACGTGGGCGACTCACCAGCATGCATCTGGTCCTCCAGCTCCTCTATCCGCTCCTCATATTCTGCCAGCTCCTCTCTGTGTCGTCGAGTGAAGTCAGCCATTTTCTGCCGCTGGGCATCCTGCAATGCTGCCAGCTCGTGTTGGTGCTCGTCCACCTCTCGACTCATCTCCTCTCGCAGCTCCTATCAGAAAAAAAAGCAGCGACATTAAGGACAGAGCCCCAGTGTCTTTGCTGTATTATGAAAGTTTAAAGATTGTTATTGCTAGAGCATTTAAAAAAGCTAGTTTAATGATCAACAGATAAATTCTGAAAAGGTTGTTCACACTGTGACATTTTCTTCCAATGCGAAAGTGGAAAATGAAAAGATTTTTGGTGGTTCCTTTACAAAACTACTTGTGTTTGTGAAAGAAAGACACATTTTAAAACAAATAACAGCAACATTCGCCAGACAGAGTTTAAGTCAGAATTAAATATTTATAAATTCTGGGAGTAGATTTAGGGTTTTTGAGGAGGATCAACCATGACTTGTCACCGTTTAATAACGTGTTTTTTTAATTACCTTAATAGTCCTCTGAAGTCTGAGGATTTCTCCATGGTCACCATTTCCAGCTGTGGCTGCTGTTGATGCCTGTAAGTGAAATTTAAATAAACAACCAAACCAACATAATATTTGTAAAGGCAATGGGAAGATTTGTTTTACCTGGGACATTCTCCTCCAATGAGCGACATCTGCCTCCAGACGCCTGACCTCCGTCGACAGCCGGTTGATCTCTTGCTGGGACCAGATGACATCACTAAAATCCATTTCATCACCATGGAAACCCTGGTGGGACCCTGCAGGGCGTGACAGGTAAGAGGAAGACGAGGTAGTGCCAGAGGAAGTGGTGACGACGGGCAGCACCGCTGGGCCAACAGCAGCGGACTGAGCCGACTGCTGCAGGTTCTGGACTTCTTCCTGGAGGCCATTGTGTCGAGCCTTCAGGTGGCTGATCTCCACCTGCTCACAGACACAAATAAGTCGTCAGCAAAACAGGAGAAATTCTTCTTCTTTATTTTTTGAATAAGAAGGAAGTCATGACGGCTGCAGAGCGGCACAGGTTTTGTGCAATTGTGACAAAATTGTGAAAAAAATCTGGTTAAAATCTTGAGGTGTATTCTGAGCCTAGTGTTACATTCAGCTGAACAACGCACCGTATTTTTGAACATATAACATAGGGATGTAAGAAAATATTGATACATTGAAATATTAGGATATGTTTGTGTTAGTGTTAACCATTAGTTTGTACAGGGAATGCATATATTTGAGACTTTGAGTCAAACATTCACATTTTTTTATTGAAATATTAGGATATGTTTGTGTTAATGTTAACCATTAGTTTGTACAGGGACTGCATATATTTGAGACTTTGAGTCAATTTTTTAAATTTGTTCATCCAAAAAATCCTGCAACTGTTCTCTAGTACTTACAATTGTTAAAAAAAAACTCAATATATCGTCATGCCTATAGTATCACAGTATATCGCAATATACGTTGCCCCTGTATCATGACACATAACGTGTATTGCCAAATTCTTACCATTACTCACCACTAATAGAATCATAGATATTTGGTATACAATTAGATATACAACTGTACATACGTCTTTCTGTTGAAGAAGATTTCTGTATTCCGACGACTGCTGTTTATTCTGAAGCTCTGAAGCCTCCAGCTTCTCCTCCAGCTCTGTGTGAAGCTTTTTCAATCTCTCATACTGCAAGAAAAAGAGAAATAAATCTTACAGTAAGAAGTAACTGTTCATATAAGACAAAGTAATGTGACCCGTCAGTCAAATGCGGTGTCCACTCATGCCTACGATGCTGCCCATTGCCTACAAACAACCTCAGTGTCTGTGGTTATTTGAGAATCACAATCTGTGTTTAACAAAAAGTCTGCCGTAGAACAGACCGTGAATGCATCATTGTGCAGCCTGCAACATGATATCCACAAAATATCATTAAATGTCTGCAGGTGTTAGCTCCATATTCTGGGACGTAAGCAAGTTTGTTGATTTGCTTTTCCAAATATTCATAGGTTTTAGTTGATTTGAACTTTTGTGGTTTGAAAATCTGCCCCAACATCATTTACAATCAAAAAGCACAGCTATAGAAAAATGATATTTAAAATGAAAAAAAAAAAAAACACACAAAACTAAGGTATTATAATCTATCAACATATGAAGGTGCAGTATTCAGAAATCAGGAGGAGGACTAGTATTCCAGGCCATGTCTTCACATACCACACCACAGGTTTGGTGTAGTAGTTAAACGTGTGCCAGTGAAAGCATCTGCAGTGAGTCGTCCAGTTACACTGTGTGAATTCCTGAACAGAAACTCTCACCTCAGATTTCTGTGTGGTAAATGCAGTCTCCACTTCAGCCAACCTGGAATTGGACACCTGCAGCGCAGTGGAAGCATCTGCAGTTGGATGGAAGGAGTTTTGAGGATTTAGCAGACATGGAAACTATGAGCTTATTCCAGTTTAATAACAGAAGTGAACTAAACTGTGTTCAGTAAGTCGTGGATTACACTTTCATTCAGATTTCTGTCAGTGTCAGGAATTTAACAGCAATAGGATAACGTTAGTCTTCGTTCCACACAACTACATTTTTTAGAAAACTTTAGGATGTATGTAAAATGATTTTATGATGAAGAAATATTAAACCTACATTTATTAATTACATTTGTTTCAAATGTTTCAGGGACACCATCAGCCATTATGAGACAACTTTAATAAAGATATACCTAATCTTAATACTTATTCTAAATAATTCTTATTCTAACTCTAAATTTAAACTTCAAAATACTCACACAGAGTATGGACCTGCAAAATGGACTAAGTGTCCTCACACCATTACTGTACCAGGTGTTTTTCCAATAACATTTTCCATGCATAGTATAGCTAGACAGAGACTTAAACACACACAGACGTACACATAACGATTTCCCTGCTGCTTCTCACATGACAAACAAACACCAACATGAGTGAGCAGACCAACGTCTCTCCAGAGCTGTAATCTACACTCCTTCCAGCCAAGACATAACATTCATTACAACAATACATTCCAGTCAGGTCTGTGGTCGACTCCAAAGGACATATTGTCTTGTTTTGAACAACCTGACACACAAAAAACTCAACTTAAATCCTAAATAAAGGGATGACAAAACACTGTTTATTTTTGAGAACAAAGTTCTCTCTGACTCTACATCTTATCACGTATTCTCCGTTTGTTTTGGGAATTATTTGGGGTTTGATTGCATGTCGTTGAGCTCTAAAACATTTTCATTGGGGAAAACCTATTATCCATTGTGTTGGTGGTCCATTTGAATCATCAGTTCAATAATTCATTTTATTGCTAATAATTCAGAAATAATTTTGGCTATTTTGGTTGTTCATATTGGCATACTCTGCATGACTTTTGTTACTTTGAGACTTTTCACTTCAAACCAACAACCTTTGTTTATTTACATTCAAGACAGTAAGTCCGTGATCAATAGTGACACACATGTAGCTGAACATTGCCTTTTAGAAGACAATCAACATTAGGCTGTAGCAGAATCAATGACAGAGTCGGAATATCCTGCAATTTAAAGTCAGTTACTCTGACAGTCAGTCCAGACTGAAAAGACCATATTAAAAAATGTGTATTCCTGTCAAGAACATGTTGGCAAAACGTTGAGACAGTCTTTAATAGGTGTTTCTATGTGCTTGTGACATCATTTATATACATAATTGTGTATTTATTTATTATTTGTATAAGTTCTCAGGCTGTTTGACAAAGTCACTGTTTTTTTGACACAGAAGGGAGCTGTCGTTTGTGGTAAAACTATTCTTTTAAGATTTAAATATCTACCACCTTGTATCCATTGTCAAATTTTCTTATTTTACAATTCTGAGATTACATGAATAGAAACTATATTTATAGAGATTTATATTGTTTGTTTTTACTCAATTATCTTGTATCAGAGAATTATTTAGTGTTATACGTTGAAGTTTCTGGTTTATAAATAAGGTTAGGTCTTCTTTGTGGTGTGTTGCTAACTTAGAGCTATTTATAAACTAACTTGTGTTATACCTTTCGTTCGGTTAGCGGTTATTTTGCTTGTCCTAATTTTTCATTTGGCAAATAATGACTCTTCCCTAAAGGTAACCGGAAGGTGCTTCAGCAGCAGGTTTAGGTAACCTAATTAGCTACATTACCATTTTGAAAAACCTCACACAACAATAAATTCCAAGCACCTTCGACGATAATGACTGAATATTTAGTCAACATGATTACTGTGGTGTCGTCGGTGCGTCTTTGTGGTAAAACCTGAAACTAATTTGAATAAAAACTGAGACAAAAAAGGAAACCACGGACTCACCTCCGACTTCTTCTACTCCTTCTAATAACATGTCTTTGGTGAAGTTTGATATCTGCCCAGTAAAAGAGGATAAACTCCCGCCGACCTGTCCCAGAGACTGACCGAGGCCGGAGCCCAGGCCGCCCAGCCACGATGACATTTTGGGGTGGATTAGAATGAACAACCAACCAAACAAACAAACAAAAACAAAGCGGGGTCGTAGAGGGCGAGGTGGACCTATTAGCTTAGCTTCGAGTGGAGCCGAGCCACAGTTTTTTACTCATTGGTCTCAACTTGGAACCTTAAATCCACAGAGGTGCAGCCGATACTTAAATCCACCAGAAACCTTCCAGAACCGAGCCACTCCTGAGGTCGACAAAAGCTCATTCAGCGGCGACTAGTAACAGCTGAGCGTCTGCTCGGAAGAATTTGTCCAGACGGATAGTTACTTCAGCGACATTTTAACCACGTCCAATAGTCGCTCCACTGCGTGACAGCTTTTACATTTAGATATGCGTATTGTGCGGATAATTTAAACGCTGTTTTTAAAGTGTTTCAGTTTGTTTCAAAGCTAGCCGAACGGCGCAGAGTCCAAAAAGTGCCACCTCAACTGTAGCCATTATGAGCTCCACAGTGCGGAGGGCTGCTGTCACTTGTGACGTGGACACACAGCGCGGCAGAGGTGCATTGTGGGATGCTGGAGGACCAACAATATTATGGTGCGTTCAAGAATCTCTAGCTATCAGTGTGGATTAAAGTTGAATAATGTTGACACTAAATTGAGATTTTGTATTTGGTAAAAATACAAAAACAAACAAACAACAACAAAAATAAGGATATACGAAAAAACACCGTTTTAAGTCAATGCCACGCAGAAAATGACCCCTGATAGATTCCATATTAAATTACGTCACGTTTTAATGATACATACATGGTTAAGGACAGGAATTTGACTCAATGTGTATTTTATATTACGTTAGAATATAACACAAGTTTTACAACGTGTATTTCAAATATTTCTAAGTGATTGTTCTGAGAAAAAAACAATTATCACACCAGAACACAACTAGTGCCCATCTAAAAATATTCCTAAATCATATATTAGTTTCTCTGCAGTCTTCTGTCCTAAGGATCTTCCAGCTCGCCTTGATTACTCCAATCCTTGGTCATGAACACTGAAACCAAAACAGGACGACCAGACAGTGTTGTTTCCCCTATTGTTTATTAAAAGTTTCTTTTTTACATGTTGATAAATAGAATCAATAGAGATGAAAGATGCCTGAAAGCAGGAGAAAAACAAAACAGTATAATTTCTTGATTGATTTAATGTCCTCTTAGCAAACTGTTAACACAACATATCACTCTGTTAAAATGCACCTGTCAGTAATCAATAATCCGTTAGATGATCAGATAAAATCAAGAGCTAACATCTTTACTTTGTCTATTTTCTGTGCAAAACAGTGAAGCGTTCAGGTCCCCGAGCCAGTTTACCAGCAGTTTTTACAAAGGCAACCATTAAAAAAAAAGCCAACCGTTAATATTCAGTCCTTCTATCTTCCATCTGGATGGCCATGGTGCATTTCAGGCGTGTATGTGAGAAGAACGATCATGACCCATAGATGTAGCACAGCCTGTCAAAAGCAGAATTTAGGTAATTTATTTATCAGCTCCAATAAATACAAGAAATTCATTTTTCTTTGTTGAACTCACCATGTAGAGAATGACAAAAACTCTGGCTGCAGGATAACGCCTCAAGAAGATCCCCAGTCTGATGCTGAAATCAGGTTGGTTTTTTTAAATAAATGACTGTATATGAAGTAATAAATAATAAAAAATAAATAAAGTCTTACCTGAAACGATCAATGGTACTGGCTGCCTTTCGTACTTGACCATACATTCCAGGAGTTTCCTGATCACTGAAGAGGACTGGTGTGTTTCTCTGCCTAGCTCCTGAGATTAGAAGATGATAAAATCTGGTTAAATTATAAACCAATTCAACCAATAAATTTGTCCAAATGACCAAAACACATCCTGGCCTTGGGGTTTCTAACCTTGCCCTTGAACCTCCAGATTACTCATGTTGATGGCTGGTCCTCCACTCTGACCTCCCTGGACACTCTTCAGCTGCTGCTCCAGTCTTTCTAACTGAAACACCAGGGAGTTTTTCTCTGTGCCCAGAGCCTCCAGCATGGTCTGCTTCTGGATCAGAGTCTCTGTCAGCTGGTGGAGACGGTTTTCCAGCTCTGTTTGGCTGCTGCTGCTTAAAGTCTTGTTAGTCAACTGGAATAAAATAATAAAATAATATATAGAGTTTCTGGCTTTTACCATGAATCAAAATGATAGAGCATATTAACCTAACAAGCCCACCTGATTCCTGAGTTTTTGGATTTCATCCTCTCTGTCTTTGATTCGACTTTGCAGAGATGTGTTAGCTCTGTGCTGCTCCTCTTCCACGTACTGCAGCTCCTATGATTTTAGAGATGTGAATTTGACCATACATTAAAATACTGAACACACACTCTAATTGAAACACTTATTTTCCTAAATCTGGACTGTAACTATATGTTTTATTGCAGTATTGTACCTGTTTGTAACGCTCAACCTCAGCCTCCACCTCCTGTTTTGCTCTGTTGTGAAGAGATTGTTGCTCCTGTAACTGCATTTGCTGCTCCCTCCAGGCCTCTGCTTCTGTCATGGCCTGGTTTTCTAAATCCTAAAAGTAAAAACACATCACTTCAATACCTGATTAATGATATTATAGCCAAGCATTACTGCATACTCAGTAGAAAAAGTGCTTGTGGAGTTCCTAAAGGCTCCATTATTGGGCCACTAGTGACCTTTATCCAAAGTGCTACACCCAGCTCTATGTGACACGTCACCACAAATATTTACTGGGTAAATTAATCTTACAAAAGAATATGTGAACAGGCTGTAATTTTCTCCAACTCAATTAAACATTTTGATTGGTGCCAAAAATGGAACCTATCACATCAACAAATTCACACTGTAGTATTCTAAAATATATTTATAATTTAAAAACAATCGATCTAGTCTTAACAAGAAAAAAAAAACCTGTTATGCCTTTATTTTAGTAGGTTAGATTATATTAATGATGTATTTAAATTGAAATTTGCACGTCGCCTTTTTTCATCCTCTCACCTGTATTTCTGTTCGTAGTGTGTGAACTTGCCCTTGTAGTTTTTGGATCTCCTCCTTTTGTAGTTCTTTATCATGACGCAGCTCCTCCAGCTCCAGGGCCATGGCCCCGTTACCATCTAGATTATCCAGACCAGACCCCTCCTTCAGACTACTGATGAGCTTCTCTTTAGACTTAAATAAAAAAAATCCAAAAATGAACTCAAAAGAAAAACTCATTAGACCAAAATTTTGGAACACATACCTAACCACAAACAGCATCTATAGGTCTTACTTGTAAGATGCGTGAAGCTTTATGCTTGTAGTCCTGCAGCTCCTGCTTGGCAGACTCAGCTGTAGCTTTTGCACTTTTCAGTTGCTGCTGAAGGTCATCGACCCTGAGTTTTTCTTCTGCAGCTCGTCGCTCTGCTGCAGTCACCGTCTCTGCAAGAGTCTGCCTCTCAGCCTCCAGTTTGGACAGCCGTCCAGTGCACTCAGTCTGCAGAATAATCAAGGAATGAAGAATGAGGAATGAAGTTTACTTAAATATAAAATGGATTTAATAATTAGAACTAATAATTGACAAAGTGCTGTGTGCACCTGCATCTGCCTGTAGCCATCCTGCTCTCTTCTAAGAGCCAGTTCAGCCTCTCGCAGCCTCTCCCGCAGCGTCTCAAGAGCTTGGGAATGCATGCTGCTTCCTTCAGTGTGATCCTGCATAATTCTAAAAAAAGCAAAACAAAAAGGTTACATATCATTTACAGGCTGATCTTAACAAAGCAAGAAGGTGTATACCTTGACTTTTCTTTCTGTGCCTCCTCTAATGCATCATTGCGGGACTCCAGCATCAGATCAGCTTCATCCAGTCTCACTTTTAGCACTGCAAGTTGTCCGTCTTTGGCTGAAAGAGCCTCTGTTAGGTCATCGACCTGTGAGCGAAGTTCCCGTAATGTGCGGTCAGTGTGAGACTGTTCTGAGTTCCATCGGTCAGAACGTAACCTGGCCTGATTCAACTCTGCAAGTATGGAGAAAAACTCAGTTGGCAAAGAGACAGATGTGCAGAAATATAAGTTGTTATTATTTGTTATTTGTTTTTTCTTCTCTTGCCATCTTGTAAGTCTTTTGCTCTCTGGATGACTGAGGCCATCTCCTGGTTGAGGGAAGCCACTTCACTACGGAGCAGCTGGTTTTCCAGACGCAGACTGGACATGATCTGACTCTGTGGTTCCTCTGTTGGTGGAGGAGGAGGTTCTTGTCTACTGGTCTCCTGGGTAACAGCTAAGCCAGTGTCAAAACTTCCAGAAGTTTCTACAGGGGGTGCAGTAGAAGTATGAAAACATTTTTTTTAATCTGACATTTTACACATTAAATATTAAAATGTTAAAACTTGAACAAAGCATCATCTGATAATATCACAATCAAAGAGTCAAAGACTCAAATCCCACCTTGGGTTTGCTCTTTAGTGTAACTCTCCTCAGAGGTTTTGATGCTATGAGCAGAAAGGGAACTCATGCTTGAAGCCCTTGAAACACCTCGAGTTGAGGGTGGTGTGGAAGGAACTGAAGGGATTTTAAGAGGAGTAGTAGAAGAAGGAGGAGGGGGTGTAGGGTCTTGGGCCTCAATAGCTGGAACCACTTTAACAAGTTCTCTCCTTGAATCACTCCTGTTGTTGGTTGGAGGATCTGAGCTGTTCAGAAAATCAAAGAGCAAGTCATCGTCCACATCCTGCTCACTCTTTTTGGGCCTTACAAAGCCAGAGGGCATCTTAGCAGGGTTGGAGAAGTTACTGCCAGAACTAGAGGGTGCAGTGCTGACATTGGCTGTGCCAGCAAGCAAAGACACATTGGATTTCTTAATGCTGCCAGCAGCTGCAGAAATATAGCTTGGTGCATTTTGAGACGATGCATAGGTGTGATGATGCTGCTTGTATTCTGCATTGCTGTATTCATGAGTGACTGTGGCTTCTTCTCCACCAGGTGATGAAAAAGACGATGTTTGGAGCTGGTTTTTAGTCAGTGCTGTGGCAGCTCCCTGGTCCACTTTATTTAAGAAGTCTTCAGCCTTACCAGCAAAGTCAGCAAACCAAGACATGTTGTGACCTACAGACAGAAAAACCAGTACAGGTTTAACAATGATGCATATGGGAATTGTCAACGGAGATGATTAAAGATCTGTTGATTGCTTTTAGTTGTGAGACTGTCTAAAGCACTTTTCATATGTTCTCTTAATGACACAGCTACAGGTGGACGTGGTCATTTTGCTAACTGAATGCCACCAACGGCCGCCCTGTACAAAGACTGAGTCACTGAACACACAAATTCTCAATCGTCAGGCTTTATCCAGGACTTACAGGAAAGCTGCCGCTTGTGTACAAACAGGGAGTTCATTCTTTCTTTGCAAACAAAATATGCAAGGCAAAGTGATTTGCAATTTTAATGTTGCTCCAAAGAGCTTCTATTTAACAACCATACGAGTAAAAAAAAAAACAACGGATATTTTGGTGCAATGCCCACTATGGAAATGTAAAGAATTATTTGAGCAGCCCTAATAAAGACACAATTTAAATACCCTTAGAGTGTCTTTGCCACTCTGCAACAATCTCTGTGGCCCAACGATAATCATTTGAAGCAATTGATAATTGACATAGTGTAAAAATGACACTGGTGACACGGTGTTTGTAATATGCAGGTTATTTAAGATTGTTGATGGTTACTAATTCTAAATCCGAATTCTAAACGAATTCGAACAAGTGACAAAAGCATCTTAGCTATCGTCATAAAAAAAATCCTGATAAAAACACTGCCTGGTTCTACATAATCTCTGTCGTGGCTAAAGCTAACGAGTTTGCTGCTCACAGGAGTATAACGGCATTTTACCCACCGTTTAAAACGATGACAAACTTCCAGGATTTTACTGACTGCTCGACTACAGCCTGCGCTTAATTTCTGAGCACAAATAATAAACAAAGTGCAAATAACCACGGTAAAAGTCCATTATACTCCATCAAGGATGCTGGTGATATTGTCGATACGTGGACCAGGAAACGCTACTGACGCTGACGACAGGTAAGGACCCCAAAACAGAGTGTCTTCCAACATGCCTGTTTTAAAGAAACATTTTTCTTTAGTTTTTATTTAAGTGCTGTATTTTCTCAATTAAATTTTCAAATATGCAACTATCAAATTGGTAACATTGGTAATAAGGTGCACTGTTGGAAATAGGATTAATTTATATTATTCATATTTATAGTTCTAATAATTTGTAATTTCCTTAATATCGCATAATTCACTTATATTGGATTAGTATAAGGCTTTACATTTGGCAAGAATCTCTTCACATATGCCGCCATCTTAACAGACACTTTTTCCTTTAAGAGTCAAATTAAAGCATTTTACACACGGCACACATTTGTTTACATACTTACTCACGTGTATGATTTCTTTTTGGTTTATGATTGGATTAACTAAAATCAAGTATAAAGGTGTAGGGTGTACTTTTTGTTTCAACTATATTTAAATTGTTCATTGTTTTGGCATAAATGATACACAGTGTGCTCATTTCATTGTTTTGGCATAAATGATACACAAACAGTGTGCTCACATTATCAATTGAGCAAAAACATTAAAGAATGCATTTAGAATAGAAATTAATAGAAACTTAATAACCAAAGTCCTGGATGATTGTGGGGCCTTGTAATTACATTACCAAATATTATACACTGGAGATTAGTGTATTTAATTTCTGCTTAAGTCCATTCTATAAAATAACCAATTGCAACTCTGACTCAAACATTCTGTGTTTTTTTTTGTTTTTTTTTGTGAATTATAATGACACAGGTTATTAAAACAGTGCCTCTTTATTTTTTCTGCACTCACTTCAAAATGCATATTTACATGGCATGCCACATCAATACAGAAAGTGACTATGGACACAATTGAATAACACGTACAATCTGCTCTTGGTATGATGAGCCAGGTGTTTTCCCTGTGAGCAACCAACCAAGAGAGAAAAGAAATGAAGAATCACTTTTATAACCAAGGACAGTCATAGAAAAGGGTTCTTCATAAAATGGATTGTTTCCGAGACTTAAAAAGTTGGACATATCCAGGTGAACTGCGCTGTCATGTGAATGTGATTGTGATCATCTGCGCTCTGCAAAAGTATGAAGATAGGTTCAAACTAAGGATAGACTCCAGGGGGCAGATGATCACAAGTTTTATTAAAATGAAGGGAAAAGTAGGACATTTTATTAGACTAATTAATTCAATAAATGTCCAGTCCTGTCATGTCAAATGTCTTAACAATCTAAATCGTCTAAAATAGTGTCCTCTTTGTTCAAAGTCGTTATCCACAAATGTCACCTCTTGGTAGAAGAGAGACAGAGAGGGGGGGAAGGGAGGAGACGGACTTAAATACATTAAAAAAAACACACACACATAACCTCATGTAAGCTTTCTGTGTGATAACAGAAAAATAACTGAACACAAAACTGTCATCTGAGAGATCCTTTGAAAAAACATTTGCCTTATTTCATTAAGTTCCTCTGATAGACATTCTGTTGGATTCTTACACAGACTCAAGTCTAACTCTCTCACTCTTTCTTACACACACACACAAGTCTAACGCTCTCACTTTCTTACACACACACACACACACACACACACACAAGTCTAACTCTCTCACTTTCTTACACACACACACACACACACACATACTTAGACACACACTCAAGTCTAACCCTCTCACTCTTTCTTATACACACACACACACACACTCACACTTTCATTCTTACTCAGTCATTCAACCAGTTACACATGCAAAGTGGTTTCTGGATGAACTGGCCACATTAGATCAAGCCCCTTCTTTTCTTGTAGTCTTCCAGGTTGAGTGACCTGCGGGGGGCGCCGTCCTTCACCGGCAGTGCATTAGAGCTCACTGACAGGGACTTTGCCTCTGCAGAGAGATGAACACACGAGAATTTATATATTGTATGTGACATGAGCAGCACAGTAGGGTTGCAACAATCATAGGTTAAAAAAACAAAAACGTAGCTGTTATATTTCTAATCATTGTATATTGTTTCCCCAGTACCTAGGCAGAGGAGCCCGCATACAACTTTCACAGTCTTTACATATTTTGAAATACCAACAGACCGATTTCAGCAGGTTTTTGTAGGACCACTGAGGGATTGGGGCTCAAACACTACAGGATTTATCAAACCAACCGAAGTCAACTGAACACATTAATCTCTTGTATGTCTGTATCCAAGCCAAACCCACTTGAACTCACATTATGGGTAAAATCGGTCAACAAACTTTTCCCGATTATGTGTTTGTATCAAACAGGCCAAAATTGTCACAGTAACAGGTAATATACAAAGCTGCAGGGATGTTGAGCACAATAAGTGAAAAATGGGCATTGTGTGTGACTTACATAAGAGTGTTGGGCTATGTCTTACACCAGTTTTCTTCATGTTCTCCATCACTACATCCATGTTTCTTCTCTGACTTCTTCCTCTAATTCTTCTTGCCTGGCTACATCATCTCACACACCCCTTATACATCCCCTCCACTGTCTCTCCTCAGCACATGTTCCTTTCCAACCTTATCCTCAACCTGCTCCACCTCAGCTCTTCCACTGATCTGCTCATTTCTAATCCTGTGAATGAGTCAATGTGAAACATCATCTCACCAGCATTAGGAACCTGTAGGTCGATCTTGACGTCAAAGTCGTGGACTTTAAACAAGTCTTCTGAGAGGTCAGTGGTTGGCTTGGGGACGTCTTTGTCTTTCTGTGGTGGTTGTCCCTAAGACATGGAAGAGAAGAGGAATGAAAGCCATTGTTTTAGTTTAGGATGGGGAGAGTTACTCTAAAAGGCAGGAAGCTTTTTTTAAGAAAAAAACAAAACATACTTTGTTTATTATTTATTTTCAAACTGACTTTTTCATAACAAATTTTTTTTTTATTTACCAATTTGTTCTTCTCTGCACTGGCAGGATCTGCTGCTCCTGACCCAGAGCCGTATTTCTGGTTGAGATGAGCGAGAATAGCTGCGTGGACAGAAGGGTCTCGGGCCTACAGGACAAACAGGAGCGTGACATCAGATCCAGACGAACAAACCAGGATTTGTACACACGTACAATGTTTGAATTGATGAATCTTACATTTGTCACCATGGTGGGTTTACACTGTCTCCTCGTGAAGGGGTCCATCTGCTGGTTTTTGGTGTTTTGTCCTTCAGCCTAGTCAACAACAAAAAATATTAAAATCTTTTCTCTTTTATGACTTGTAATAACAAAATAAACCTGATAAACCATTGTACAGCACATGGAAAAATCTGTCCAGCTAATGATCATGTAGTGACATATTAAAGCAGTAAAGCCATATTAATATATGTTACTAGACATGAGATTAATGTTTAAATATCACAGTAAAATAATTTACATAAAGTCTTTTTGTATTAAACGTGCATTTAGATTTTACAGAATGGAACAGATATTTTAATACCACTTTATTAACACAACACATGTGTTTTACAAATGGCAAAAACATCACAGATAATCATAGATTTATAGGAGGAAAAAAATACCAGCACTCACCACAAGAGCTTTCTCTGACTCAACAATATTCCAGCTTCTGTTTCTCTGGTTAATGTAGCTGCAGTTAAAAAAACAGAGTTAAGTTTGTATATATTACACTAAATAGAAATGTTAAAAGATACATGGAATTAAAATTCTTGATTTAAATATTAATCATTTCATTGATTTAGACACATGACTACATTTTTAGTTTTAATTACAATTTTGTTTGTTTTTAGTTTAGTTGGAGACGAAACAAAATTATTTCAATCAACTAGATTAAATTGGTTTAGTCGCCTTAAGTGTGATGGGTAATTTTTTAATTTTTCAAGAAGAACAGAAAACACACACAGCTCTCATTGACTCTCATCCTCGTGTTTCTCCAGTTCACATGACAAAATCCTTAAGCCCCAAATAACTTCCATTTTAGTTTTCGTCTTTAAAATTTAAATTTGAGTTTTAACATTAAAAGGTAAAAGTATAAATGCATCGCTCATGTACCTGATGGCAGAGATGTTCTTGGTCCTCTGTCTGTCCAGTGCCTCCGCTCGTTCCTCCAGCTCGTTCAGCTCATCCTGGATCACTTTCACTCGATCGCCGTCTCCGTTCTCTTCCGCCATCGCCTTTATTCAAAAGAGAACAAACAAGAGTGGCAAGATTGTGAAACATGAAGACATGATAACATGCTACTGTTGTTGGCTGCTCTGTTGGTCTATGGTTTCAGTCACCTTATCTTTGAGGAGCTGCGTCTTTTTCATGGCATAATTTGGTGGTGCTTTTCTGAACCGGTCCTTTTCTTTAACGATCTGCAGAGAGACAGCAAAGAGATATGTTGGCGATTTTCTGTGGATGATGAAAATGAGAGGAGAGATCTGCAGGAACTCAGGGACTCACGTCTTCTATGTCTTTGTCATTAAACTTGTAGTTCAGAGCTTCTTTGATGGACAGTTCTTTTTTTGTGACTTCATCCAAAGTCGGGACTTGCATCCCTGCAACCATCATCTGTGGAGGAGAGGCCGACAGGCTGAGCAGACAGACACAGCCAGCTCCCTGCCACATCACTTTATGCTCATACTTGGTCAATTCAACCTTTCACTTCCATGTGAACTTACGGCTTCTTTCCACTTCATGAACTCGCTTTCTGTAAATTCCTGATTCGATACAAATTCCAGCCTGAATACCCGTGTGTCGCCCCCATGCCTGAGGAAGAAACAACAACAATAGCAAATTGAGAGACAGCAGGATAGATCTCCACTATCAGTGTTGCTTATTTTGATGGTGCTTCTTAAAAGGGGTGAAGCAGCCACATGTAACCATGGCTACAGCAAAGAAAGATAGTGACAGTGTTGTGTTTAGTGTCTTTTATCGTTGTTTCCTTTCAAACTATTCTGCAACTAGGGATGGCAGTGGATTAAAATATTAATTAAAACAGATTATTCTTTGATGTCCATGTTTAACTCACATTTATGAAACTTTAAATCTGTCATAAATTAAGCATTTTTTCATCAAATTCACCCGTGTTTTAACCTATGCTATGATGGGCCACATAAAATAATAAAGTGGCCTGCTTTTGGCCCACAGGCTTTAAGTTTATTAAATTGCTGTTCTTTGTCCTTGGCCAACAATTTAGATTGTAATCACAAGCAGCAATCAAGCAGTGCAGTCAGACTGTGTTGATGACTGAACCAAACCTGGAAAAAGAACTTTGTCTTTCAAATGTAAGTAAGGATTCAAACTCCTGAATCTTTTGATATTTACTGCATCTAAATGTAGAGTAAGACTTTGACAGTGAATGATCTTTGGATCAGACAGACGACATAGTTGTGCCTGTTGGCCTGATGTGCCTTATTTGTTATGTTTTAACCTAACAGTCGTTGCCAGGTGAGACAAACTTCCTTCTTTATAGTTACCTTAATTGTAATCCCTTGTTTGTTCGTGTTGACCCGAGTTGGTAAACTTTGGCTGTCTCCACCACGTCCATAATTTCAGCAACCTGTGAACACAGGAGTCTGGATTCAACAATTCTTCTTCTTCTTTGTTTCTCCCTCCAAACAAATTCACCAAAAAGTCAAGCTCACCCTGTAAACTGGTTTACTACTGCTGTTCCCGATCCCTATCCTCACAAAGCAGCCAGTTACGGTCTTTGCAAAGAAGGGCATGTGACACCAGCGCTCCAACTTGTTTCTGGACAGACGGACCCTGTTCAGTTCCTCTGGTAATGAAACTGGTTGTGACTTTGGTGGAGTCTCCTCTTTTCTGTGGGCACGAAAGTTACAAAGTTCAGCACAGGAAAGAGGTAAATATGTAACCAATGTATTTCTACAACAACAATCACACTCACTCGTCTTCATCGTACGATGACGACCGCGAACTCCGATCACTTTTGACCGACGACTTGTCGTCGTCTTCCTCCTCTTCCTCCTCGTCGTCCGAGTAAACTTCACTGGTTTTCAGAGGCAGACGTTTGGCCAGTAGCTCAGCTGATCCACGGAGAGAAGAAGAGTCAGGAATTAGATTCTGAATAACAACAACACACACACACACACAACAATGACGAGGCGACAAATGCACACACACCTGTTTTGTTCTTCTTCTTCTCACGCTCAGCTTTGAGTTCTTCCATGGCCTGAGACTTTTTGTCAAGTTTTTCATCACGTTTGGATCGTCTCTCTTTGTTGTGTGATGTGACCTGCAGGAAAGGTCACGGGAAATATAGTCACATCCAAGCACATCAACAGAGAATTGAACATGTCCAGCGTCTCCTCCTGGTCCAGGACTCACCGCTTGTGTGTCTTGAACCTGAGATTGTTTCCGTTTTTCTTGCTCTTCCTCTTGCTTCTTCTTTTTCTCCTCTTTCTCCTTCTTCTTTGCCGTTTTCAGTTTCTTCTTGATTTCAAACCTGTCAACAAATCAAAAGTTTAGGGTGGGTGCACCATAACCTTAACAACAGCATCGTGAGGGAACGTCATCATTTTTTCATCTCTTCTCACCGTCTCTTTAACACCTCTCTTTTCTCAATTCTGTTGAACAGCTCCTGCTCCCTCTCCTTCTCTGTCATCTGCTCCAGACGAGCCCTGTCCTCAGCGTCTCCCATCAAGTCGTCATCGTAGCCATCTTTGAACACTTCGTCCTCGGAGGAGTCCGAGTCCGAGCTGGAGGACGAACTGTTGCTCTCCGAGTCGGAGACCTCCCCTGAGAAAGAAGAACATATTGACATGAATAGGAGTCAACCAGGTGACATCACTTCATATTCAAAGTGGAGAAAGAAATAAGGAAGTGTCAGCAGTAGTGTGTTCTGTGATGTGTTCAGTGCTATGGCACGTCGTCAGGTGTTTTATTACTGCTTATATCGTAACAGAGCAACTCTTACAGTAAATCTTATCCTGTCTATTTCCCGAAATTCCTCCAAACCGCTGACATTGTTGACCTACTTAATAAAAACTGCTTATGATGACAATGAGACCAAGAATGGAAGCAGGAATATACAACATTGTCTGACCAGTGAGCAGCTGGTTCTGGTAAAAAGCCATTACAGAATATTCGGTTGGTGGGTCGTCGCATATTTTTTGTACAAGTAAGAGTATGTGAATGAAACTGAATTGGACATACAGCTGAAAATTACCCGGAAACATTCCGGTTTTGCAGACATTATTGTGTCTCTTTTATTATGTCATCTCTAATTGATCTAATCTGAATCTCAGATCATGATAGATCTCCACACACTTATTGAGTCTGTCTAGCAATTTCAAGTATATGTTATAACACAATTTACACCTTAAGTCTGCCCACTTACAATGTCAGGAGCCTCAGAAATCATCCACGTACCTTCCTCGGGTGCTGAGCTCTCGGCTGAGCTGTCTCCATCAGAGCTGCCTGACGCTGTTTTATTAACTTTCTTCTTCGTGGTGTTCTTCTTCTCTGAGCCTTTCCCTGGTTTCACCTTCTTTTTAACTTTGGTGCCACCCACAGTCCACTGAAAGAAGAAGTGTGCAATGGCAAAAAACAAAACAAACAAACAACAACAAAAAAAAAATCAAAAGAGTGTTAAATTAAATCAATATTTAACTTACAAAACATCACATTCAAAACATCCATACCTCATCATCGCTGTCTGATGTTTCAGAGTCAGTAGATGCAGCAGGTTTGCTCACCGGCTCCTCCTGCTCACCTGAATCGACCCTCTTCCTCTTCGCCAGCGACAAAAGCTCCTGGAAAGTGTGTGGTCACATTTGATGACATTTTAAAAAAATGTCTTCCTTTTATTTTTTTTGTGACAACAATTTTTCCTTAGCGGCAACAAAAGCAGAAGACGTTATATTGGATGCTTTAACCAGTTTAATGATAATAATGAAGAAAACTGCAGTCTTAGCAGAAACAAATCAATTCTAAGATGACTTGAAACCATTCCAAAACCTCTAGGAAGTGAACTTGTGAGAACCTCACTGAGAAGTGTTTCCTCCTACGGATTCAAAACCAACCAATGTTTGAGTCTAGAATTTTACCCTTCCAGGCTGGACCATGTGGGTGATTACTCAGAAATTTGGTTTAAACAGAACACACGACATTGAAACCTACAATGCATCTGCTGTTAAGCAGTTATGATTTCTCAAGGCCTCAGACTCCGTTGATCTTTTCACTGCTCTGCAAAACTCTGCTGTTGCATGGCTATTCTTCAGTGCTTGCAGTCTTGCCGTTGTCAGAGCAGAGGCAACTAATAATGAAGACTGAAGTTTACAGGACGATTGCTGTTGTGTTGTGCAGTTCCTGACATGCCAGGGACTGTAGCGCTCTTCCCTTCAGTCATACCCTCCAAAGCTTGTTTGACAACAACACCGATATAGCAGCCTGGCTCACTGACGTCATTCAGGAGATAGGGTTCTTCGGGCTAAATCAAGTGCAGCTTCACTGCAGCTTCTCTTATGTGTAAACATAGACCATCCCAACGAAGGTCTCACAAATTTAAACGATCTGAATCCACATTTTACCACCGCAATTTTAGGAATTGAACCTAATTAAAGCAACATCTTCGTGCAACATTGTTCTAGCGTTGAGTACATCTCTGTAACCTTAGCATTAGCACACTAATAGCCCTTTCAGGCTAACACGCTGTTTTATTTAGCAACTTCACACATATAACTCAGCGATATTTTCTGTACACAAATAGTACAGAAATTTCGAATAGTTACACTATTACAAAATGCCTCAGTTACTACAAGAGGGCAGAATTGTCACATTTAGTCCAGGCCTCTTTGATTAACGAGACTAAACACAACGCAGACAGGTAGCATTAGCATACATTTGCTTCACCTCAAACTCAGGACTCTTTGAAGGATCATTTACGAAAAAAACGCAAACACCTACCTGGTCTAAGTTATCATCGCTAGCACTGTCTTCAGAGTCCGAGTCGATAACGACTCGTCCTTTCCGTTTCTTTACATTCACCATGTTTAGCTGCGTGGCTAAGTTGTTAGCCTCCTCTGTGTCGTCTCACTGATGCAGCTTGAATTAGCCGCTTGCTACGTTAGCTTGTTTTCTCGCTCTGTTTTTTTTCTGTGGCGCCCTGAGCATGCGCGGCTCATAGGCTTTTGACTGAAAAAAAGGATGAGAAAGGTGAAAATGTTTTAACAAAACTTTGCAATTTGACCTGAACGCTGAGAGAAATTAACACAGTGCTGTAGATGCCCTTTGATCCACTAGGCGCAATTGTACAGATGAAAGTCACATAATTGTAACGTTCGCTTGTTTCGTTTTCATTCATTCTTATCCAGAAAGTGGTCACTTGATTAGCTTGAAAATGTTGATTTATGAAGCTTTAACATATACAGAACTGTGCCCATAATACCCGTCTTTAACAATGTTTTTTTTTTTAAAACAAAACCCACACAAATACTGTTCGACTAATAATAAAAACTTGGCCTTGGTAATAGGAGTGTTTACCTGTAGTGGTACTACAAGTATTGCTAAAGCCGCTACTTACCTACTGATTTAACATGTATTACTACTGCAAGTTCTCCAACCACATTCGAAATAAACCTTCCAATTCCAATGTAATGCTTTACTGCTAGATGTCGCTAAATCGCGCCTTTATGGCGGAACCTTCTGTCTACAGAGACTGCATTAGTCAGGAAAGAAAACGCTGGTGCACCAAAACAGGGGTTCCTGACTTCACAACGGGTTGACCTTCCAATGTGTGGCTGACTGCTGTCTGTTAAATGTGAATATTCCAGTGCTTTCGAACGTTTGGTGAAGATAATTAAAATCATGGTTTCGGCAACAATGGACTTATGAGCGAGTATAAAGTTATTGAGTTGTTAACAAAGGCGTCGTAAATGTGTCGGTCCGCAGTGACGGTGTCCGCGAAGATATTGCAGCTCAATACTGCATGACCAGCGTAAGTAGACAGCGTTCATTAGCACTTTGCATTCACGCAAGACGTTTGTGGTGTAATCTAAATACTGTTTACAGCACTGTATCAGAAATATTTACCTTTACACAAATAAAGCTGTAGTGAATAAGTGCGCACATTAGGTGTGACGTTATAGCCTTAAACTGTCCTCCACTGTATCACCACTTTAGGTAATATTAAATCAAAATTATTAATTTATATTGTAAATTTGAGATATAAAACTACATTGGCTAAAAAATAGCTAAAATAATGAAGTATTACTAGTCAGTAATACTTGCGTTTTATTGATAATATACAGCACTGACTTGTGGTATATATGTGAATAATAAAAAAAACCTTTACAATGTATTATCAAACTCTTGCCCATGTATGTAACTCCACTTTTCTGTGTGTAAAAAAAACCTTTACAATGTATTATCATGTATTATCATTATACTCCACCTTTCTGTGTGTTTTTTTTCTGCAGCAGTGAATCTTCCAAATCCACACTAAAATGTCCCTGACAAAGATGACACGTCTTCCTTTAGCAAGACTGCTGAGCTCCATTCACCTGCAGCAGCAGCAGCTGCTGCCCCTTCTCCATCCTTCCATCTCTCCCATCACCTCTATTCCCAGAAGATGTGCATTACATAGTGAATACAGGCGGCCCGGAAAGCCCAGAGAATACAAGAGGCCTTGGGATTTAAGGAATTTTGACTTCAAGAAGGCTGTGGCTGTGTTAAAAGAACACTTCACACTGCTGCAATCTGAGGTTCATGACCGCATTGTCGTAGGCCCTGAGGGAAGACCGCTGATTGAGCACATGCTGGAGCAGAACAGGGTGGTTTGGGAGTTCAGAGGTCCAGAGAGTCTGAAAGAGTGGACGGTCTCCTCTGATCGTGAGATTGGAGGTCAAAGTGAAATCTCGTTGACACTTGGAAAACACAATACATGTTTTCTCCACGGGACCCTAAACACAACTCCACCAAGGGACGGAGAGACGCGTTACAGTGGTTACTGCACCGTGCGCTCAAAACAACCAAAGGTTGGTATACTTTGGCTAATTTGAACAAATCTACCCAGAAATGATCAGATAACTAATCAGGGAGGTGGCACTGTTTTATAATTCCCAGACATTCCAATCTAAATAGAAGTAAAAACTATATTTTTTTGATGAATTATTTAAAGTAACTAAATACAACTTCTGCTTTGCTGTAGTATTCATTTGACAGAAAGAAGCACCATGATTGGACCAGCTTCAACTCCTTACACCTGAGAGTACGTGGTGATGGACGTCCATGGATGATCAACATCGCTACTGAAAACTATTACACACACCAGAAAGATGACCTGTACCATTATTTCATGTTCACCAGAGGAGGCCCATACTGGCAGGATGTTAAGGTATAGTCTTTGCAAATGTGAATAAAAATTCTAACAAAAAAACTGCCGTCAGTAGCATTTGTTGTGGCTTCTGATGATAAGGTGTTTTTGGTTTGGTTTTGTTTTGTATTTACAGATCCCTTTCTCAAAATTCTTCTTGGCACAGCGTGGGAGGGTACAAGATGACCAGCATCCACTCTGGTTGGACAAGGTAGAGCAAAGGAAGTTTGTCAAAATATAATCAGATGCAACAAAAACACAGCAACACTCTGTGTTCACATCCATGTTGACTCAGCTCCCTTCTCAATGCTAAATCACATCCATTTGTGTTGACAGATTAACACCATCGGATTTACACTTGGAGATAATGCAGACGGTCCATTTCAACTAGAGATCGACTTCATCGGCGTCACCAACGATTACGCCCACACTGAAGAGTTTGCCTATGAACATTATAAGAAGAATCCTGAAGTTAAATCCAAACTGTCATAACACTGCAAATTAAACATCAGATTTAATTTTTAATTATTCTGTGTAAATTCTTCTAATGCTGCCAATAAACAATCTCTCAGTGCTTGTGTTCATGTTGGTTTATTAATATTATGAAAGGTAGATGGCAGTCTGACTTGACTTTTTAGAGCTTTTTTACTTCATAGGGAGAAAATCTTGTGGCTTCTGTCGATTAAAATTCAGACATTTTAATTAACATTAATTAACATTAAACATTTTTTATTTATCAGAATTATACTTCGATAAACGTGTTTAACTATTAGTCATTATTTTAGACATTTAAGTACTATACTGTTTTATTCTCGTTCATTAATTATTGAAGTTATTTAATTCTCTAATATTACAAATATTAGTAATGGTACTTTCTTTGAATTTTGCTTCTATCTCGTCAAGAATCAGTCGATATAATATTAATACTATAATCTATATCATTAACACGTGTTACTCCAATAAATTGCAAAATTTTATTTCCTATAATAGTATTCTGGGCATGGCGTTAAATGCCCAGGTCCTTCCAGTCCAGTAGGTGGTGATGTCGAACCCTGAAAAGATCAAGCCGATGTAAAAAAACAAAAACAAAAAAACAATCGTTTATTTTAATTAATTGAATATTGAACGCGAATATTGTCGGTCCAAAAACGACAGAGGTAAAATGTAATGACGCTATATTTGTTCAGGCGGTGCCAATAAAGTTACGTTTTTTAAGGGGAAAAAGTCCTTCTTCCGCGACTTAAACAAGGTTGCCAGATCCTTTTTATACGCGATTTTAGTTTCGTAAAAAACCTAAAAAAAAAAAAGCTTATTAGGACTCTTTCGTTTGTCCTGAACAAAAATATGAATTTTTTTATAAACAATGTATGGCAAATGCGCGTATATAATATGATTTAAAGAAACGGGAGATAGTTGGTGGGGTTTTTTTTCTTCTTTTTGGCTCTAGTTTTGTAAGACCAGGTTGTGTGAACGTATCCCACAATCTGGCACTAAACTCAAAATTAGAAGCGGGATCCACGGCTGACTTCACTGCGCTGCAAAAACATGGAGTTCGATGAAAGCCTGTTAGTACAACGATTCAGTGCAACAAGCATGGATAAAGAGACGGGACTCAGAAAAATTTATCATCAACAACTGACTCTACACTGTTCTCACTGCCACACCGTGCTGGGAGATTCCTGTGGAATCTGCGGGGAAATCCAGAGTCTGGACTCCATCGTTTGTTTGAGTAGGTTCACCGTATCTCCCTGGTTCACAGTTAAATCACACAGGAACATTAGTAGATGTTGACGTGGGTGTTAAGGAGTTCAGTACCAGGCTGGAGTTATATGGGGCTGCAGCGTTAAACTAGTACTGAAAATTAAGCTGAATGTCACGTTAAAGCTAAGTCACATAAGGCTACCAGATACAGTTTTTAAATAGTCCTTCCTAAAATGCTAAAATGTTAGCTACCAAATAACGTTTGGTGAAGCTAGTGGGCGAAACTGTATCAACAGATTGACAACCTGCTTTGATTGATGCGACTAATCTCTTTTCAATGCATTGTTGCCAGAAGTATGAGAAAAGAAGCAACTAATATAATGAAAAAACTAAGTTAACATGTAAATAAATAATTTTAGCATTTTCTGTTAATTAACATGCAGAGCATGGTAAAAAATAAATGTCGATGATGTTGTTTGTCTGTTTTACGGTCTACCCTCAGGTGTTACAACTGATATTGTGGTCGGCGGTGCAAACGATTTTGGACGTAAAGGCGAAATAGCAAACTGGTGAGTAGCTGCACAACTGAAAGCTGCCTGTGTTGTGAAGGCTATGTCCTGATATGGCCTTGTTTGAATTCAGTATCTATAGGTCTCTGATATGCCGTTGCTGTGCTTCTTTGGTGGGTAAGGTGATTCTCTCAGGTCCGTCCTGTCTGAGCATGATTCGCTCCCTCTTTCTCCTCCACAAACCAGACATCTCCTGGTAAGACCGGTTTTCACCTCCCGAACCCGGCAGCATGTTGACTGTGTGTGCACAGGTTCAGTGCTGCTGGAGGAGTCAATTAAACTATTTAAGTAGAGACAGAGAACTTTCCTAGTCTCTCAACGTATTTTTTTTTTAAATATATATTTCTTGAAATCCACTGCAGCTACATCCTTGACAGCAAGTCACTGGTGAAAGCAGTCACAGTCACATTTGATGTCAAGCCACTGGTGCCTGCCATAAATGAGGTGAGACTACAATAATACAGAAAAAATGTAATAACCCA